GTTGACACCTAACACCATTGTTTGAAAAAGTTTGTGTTTTCTTTCCTTTCTATACATATAAAAATGACGCATGCTAAAAACATTTTTGCCTTGTTTTACTCTTATCTAGACGCTTGAAAACTTTCTCCACATCTGTAAACAAAAACAAATTCATGACTAAATGAAAGTAAAATAACACCATCTTGTCTAACGACTTATCCAAGCAAAAAAGAATAGAAAAAGACTTTTTTTGATGATTCAGATTTTTTATAAATCAAAATCAAAATAAAAAGGAAAGCGCTTATTGCCGTGCGCTTTTTGTCATGTTTTCTGCTGTTTCTTGTCATATTCGCTGTTGTCAGGCTCTCTTTGTTAGTGTTTGCTGTTGGAAAAAAACTTATCAGTGCAGCCACTTGCGGTGCTAAAATGTGGAACTCACGATTTCTTTTTTCTTAATATAATTTTCTATTTTGTTTCACTTTGATAGAGATAGCTTATAGTGAATGGCTTATAAATTACTATGATAGGATTCAGTAACAAGACTAAAATATATGTATATGCTTTTGCTGATTATCAGTGACAAAAAAAAAACATTTTCTCATTATTAACGCTATTCTCGCACCTATCCAAATATAATTCATTATCTTCAATATACGTATAGATGTAAGATCTGAGCACAATTGATAATACTATATTTCTGTTTCTAATTCAATATTGTTTTCTTTTTAAACTGCAGTTACTAATTTCCACCAGCATTTCATCTATCAATGATTTCGAAGTTCATATCATCAGGAATTTTATAAATATTTTGAAAGAACATTAAGACTTGCTAATTTCTTTTTTCAATAAAAATATATTACATGTACAAGTCATTAAAGCAATAACTTTCTTAAAAACTTATTACAAATACCACAAAATCATATCTTACAAATCCGTTTTTTAAAAAACATTAAACAATTTCTACATGGTGTCGAAATATATAACACATTAATATATATGAAGATTTTTCCTTATAAAACAAAAATTATCTAAGCAATCTGTTTTACAAAAACAACGTTATAACATGTGTCAATCATTTTTAAAATAGCTTCCATAAATTTTCATGATCAACTTACCAAAAATATTTGTTCTGCACTACAATTATATGAATTAATTAGCATAATCCATAATCTATTACATCAATATTTACATATGTATTAGTACCTTTAGTATGAAAATGATATTATTTCGCTAACCTTACTAGTAATCATACTTTGATAGATAGTGCATTCTGATCTTATAATAAATAACTTCACATCTATCATATTTAGACTTAATTACTAATTAATACTCTTAATAAATCAAACCTTAAAATTTCAACAATTTTTGTAAGCAATACATTTAATATTTCAGTTTCGTTCGTGTGCGTCGTCTTTTATTATCTGAATGCTGACATAGAATGATAGAGCTAGTCTTGTTGAACGTTTTAATTCACTGATCAACTATTGATCTTTACATTGGGTGGGTGTGGGTGTGGGTGTGTGGGTGTGAGGGCGTGGGTGTGGGGTGTGGGTGTGGAGTGTGGGTGGGTGTGGGTGTGAGGGTGTGGGTGTGGGGTGTGGGGTGTGGATGGGTTTGGGTGTTCACTTCTCTTTACCCATACCCACACCCTCAAATCAAAAATTTTCACTACTTTTCCTTGCTCATCAGTGTATTCTAGAACGAATTTCTCATTTTGACGACTAGATTTTCTGTATAATAAATAAGATTTGTTGTCAAACTCGATAATTCTTTGTTCTAAAGAAACAAGTTCATGCCATAGAATATGATATATGAGCTGTAATTGATCCATTCCAGCTATAGTAGTTGCTAATCTTGCGATTTTTGAGCTATCATCAATAAGCATACTATCTACTTCATCTACAATGGCAACATCGTATGTTCTACCTGCTAATGTGTTCAATTCAGCATAATAAGTTCTCAAAGTATCAAACTGAAACTGAGCTACTTCGCCATAAACGATTTGTTTTTTGTAACAAGCTTTTGGACCTGTGTGATAATTTGCTTTATCATTATTATGACTACATTCAAGATCAAACATACTATAGAAATTCGCTTTTTCTTTTGCATCTCGTTCTGCAAGTACAGGTGAACTAGTAATAATGTCCACATATTTTCCTTTTAAAGCATGAATTACTGCTAGTATACTTATGATAGTTGATTTACCTTCACCAGTGCGGGTGTGGGTGTGGATCTTCTCTTCACCCACACCCCACACCACCCACACCCACACCAACACCCACACCCTAGATGCCATATTAGTACCCATGTCATATAGAACGGCCTGTAAAAGGTCGTAAACGGTTCGAAAACGGCGAAAAACGATTGTCGTTACGAGCCCTGCTTTTCGCCGTTTCACACTGTTTTTCATCATATAAACATAAGGGCCCTGAAAACATCATCAGACACTCTGATAAAATATAATCGATTGCTCACTGATTGTTAACAAAATTGACACTATTTTTCATTCTGATTGCTTTCACCATCTAATTCAATAGCAAGTATTTTAACTAAATAAATATGTTTATTTATTTTTATTTCGACCTATCTTAATCAGATATTCCATAGTGAGTATTTTATTTCATTAAGTTTACTTTCTTTTTATTTAGAAAATAAATTAATAAAATATCTAAAGGCAAGTATTTTATTTAACCTTTTGGAGACCGTAGGACATACGTTGTCCCATCTATTTTTCAGTAAAAAAAAATGTTTGTTCTACATTATACTATTAAAATCTTTAAGATAAATACGTCGCCCACCTGCTATCTCATGCAGATCTTTTCTCTCTTTCTTCGTGTAATAGAGATTCATCTCAGATGTTCTCCTTTCTTTCTGCTACTGTATACTGACCCATGATTTCTCCCTTTCATCTCTCGATGCATTATCATGAAATTTTTATTTGATCATTATGAGCCAAATACAACAGATTGATTGAAAAACCATTTTTCGATTGAAATAAAATTCTGTCCTCAAAGGGTTAACTTCACTTACTTCTCTTCAACGATTCTTGTAGGAAATGTGAATCTCTAGATGATAACGACCAAGAACGCGTGCCAAAAAAAAAATTAGCTTTTTTTTAAGAAAAGAAAGCATTCCAGAAAAACTGCAATGCGTTCCAAAATGGAACGGCCAAGAACGCATTCCACTTTTATAGCAAAGTGTTTTTTTTTTCTTTAAAAATATTTACTACGAAAGTAGAACGCGTTCTTTGAAGTTTTTTTGATAAATATTTTTCACTGGGTAAGACGTCGTTTCAGACGGTCTGAATGGTGCACGTGGTTATCAACTGTAAAGAAGCCATCAAAGTAGAAGGCAAATTTTCCTTGAATATGTTTCATTAAGAAGTCTTTATTTAATTATTCCAGTACTTTTTTTTTCACCATCAAATTCGAATCGAAATGTAATGATCAAATGATTAAAATGAATAAATATGAAAGACTAAACATCTTCAACTAGCGATTTTTCCTTAATAATATAAGTGACAAGTGAATCTATCATTAATGGTGCTCTTTCCAGAGCTTCTCATTTGAGAACATAAACTGAAACTAAAAAATTGGTTTACACAGTTAAGTAAAATTTCATATAATAACAAGCATCATAAATCATATTTTTATCTATTTTCAATTTCTTTACGATACTCGTATGTATTTTTCAATACTTTTGTAGTTTTAACAAATAAAAGTATTTTATTTTCCTTTTGTCATAATTTCTGAATATTTGTATGTCATCACTTATTTCATTGTTAGTATTATCTTAAGATTGTAATGTCTTGTCAGCTTTTAGAAAATATATTAATCTCGACTTAAATATTTTCTGAATATAAATGACGTTCATACATTCTTTTGACGTCGATCTTATTCTTATATGTTCTAGAATATATTATATTCAGGAAAATTTTTAAAGTCGACTTCAGTGCAAGAGAAAAAGTGCAACGTCAGTACTTCGCGGAAAAATTTAAAGGATAAGTAGTGAAACAACGTTTTCGTGCCTTGTTCTTATATCATTCTTACCGTATGGTTTTGATGCTTTTTGTATCATATTTATGACATGTTGATGATTTGACATTATTTTCATGGAGTGCACTTGATATAAAATTAATTACTTCTTGTAAAATTAAACGTCAGAAAAAAACACCAATGAGTGTGAAAAGCATGCAAAAAAAAGCATTCGTTTCACTATTAGAAAGTTCATTTCTAATTGATTTCTCCAAAGCATTTCCTGATATTCTAATTAATTTTAAAAATTTTGATCGAATCTGTTTTCTTTTTCATAGAGTTTATACCAATAAAGTAACTCATTTAAATTTATTTCAATAATGGAATATGGAATAGTTGGTTTTGTACTAAATTTAATTTCACTTATTCATGGTTCATTTGCAATTATGATTTCGGTTATTATCATCGGTATTATTATCTATCATCAATATCATAATCGTTTAAGACGAGAAGAGAAAATAACTCTTATTCTCTCTGCTAATATCTATTTCTATATGAATATCTATGTAGCGGTATTAGTTTCAGGCAATATTTATACATTATTAGGTGATATATACGAGAAAAATTTTGATTCATCATGGTGTGCATTTAGAGGATACCTTGTTCCTGTCTCATGTTGTGCTCTACTTCTTGCTTTCGCTATTCAGGTAATTATCAAAAAAATGTCTGTTATGATTTGCAAGGTTCAAAAAGCTTAGAGATAATTTTATTAGTAGAAAACATCAAAATGATCAATACATTATAAAACATGCATCAGTATAAAACTTCTTACGTTTTGATCATGTTGATAGTAGTCAAGATATATTTATTAGAATAAGCACAGAAGAATCTTCTATACGCTCTTTCTATTGTAATGAACTTCTAATGAAATATCAATTATTGATAAAAGAGAATTATGTAAAAACACCATAACAGATGCTGAATTTTCTCAAATAAAGTCTAACTCTCTGTGAGTTCAGATTATCATGATAAAAAAACCTTCTTTCCATAACTTTTTGTGAAATTTGTTTTTGTAAATAATTTTTGATATATGATATGTGGATATTCATTTTCATTCTTAACAGAAGTATATGACGAAAATAAATACAAATTACACCTTTGAAACATGTATACAATATAGAACATCCCAAACTATTGTATTCTAGTATTAGAATTTACGAAACGAACTAGATAGAATGATGGAACAAATATGTTTCTATAAAACGAGATGTTGTCCAGCTCTATACGTAGTTTTTGCTCTGAATTATGTATATTTTTATATGAAATAGCAAGAATAACTCTTGAGCATTCCATAAAATTTCTATCATTCTACGTTGTTTGCACAGAATTTACTCACAATAACTGATGCTAGAATACAACAATGTTGGACATTGTTTATTATATATATTAGCGTTCAATCTGGGATCCGAGATTGGATGAATATTAAGTCAGGACAATCTCGGATTGATCAGCTACAACACGTCCAATCTGAGATCCGTCTGAGAATTTTAAGCAAATCTCAGATTGACTTAGACCAATGTTTTTACGGATGAAAAAAGCTATAGCGAAATCATCTCCTTATGTTTAAGTTGATTAACTTTGTTTTTAGCCAACAAAAAGACGTCAATAAGATATTGAAAATTCGAAGAGAACTCATTTTATTAAGATCTATCTTCTCGATTTGTGATTGCTCATAAAAGTTCAGAATTTCTCCAAGGTATTTAAGAAGACAAACCAATGTTTGCACAACTGACTTTTTCTGAATTTTGAGAATACTAACACATGTCTTCCTTTTTATATCAATCTCAAATCGAAGATTTGAAGGTAGACAGAGCGAGAGCAAAGATGAGGATGGATGTACAAGTTCATTCTCTGAAGTTGAGATTTTCTTCAGTGCAATTGGGACGTGTTGAGTGTGTGGATGTAGCAGTGGACGAAGAGAACATCCTCATCCACACTCACCCTCTTCTAATATAAAAAGACTCAGAAAAAAATAGAAAATGATGTTGCTTGTTTGTGAAGTTAGAAGGACTTTTTTAGAGATGTTTAGTTTTTCGCTTTTCTTCCTTCTCAGGTTCGTTCTGGAAAAATATGTCTGCTACGAAATTTGTGGTTCAGACATTGCTCTCTCCAACAAAAAAGAGTTTGATTGGTTCAGAAGTCGGTAATATAGTCTAACAGAGTTTGAAATTTTTCCAAAGAGTTTTGCACTATTAATTAATTCAAAAAATTTTTATGAATTTTATATGACTTGTATCTCTGTGACTATAGAAGGTAGACAACTGAAATTCTAGTATAGAGTAGATTTAAATGTCTAGTATACATACTGTAAATATCAATCTATTCTAATGAAAAAGCTGCTAGCGCAATCCCTTGCGGGATTAAAAATGTGAAACACGATGTACCTGCTGTTGCCAATCTCATAAAAATAGTTCTTTTTTATGCATATTGGTGTACATTTCTTCATCGTGGCTTACTTTATATTATAGAGCTGAAACAGGATAATACCCCATATATGCTCCAATCATGTGTTAGTTATGTATTATCTCGGATACTTTCTTGAACTCTTCTTTCACAGTCTATGATGCCCCCTGGAGCTTATCTGTCACGGTCTGTGATGGTCTCTGGGGCTCTCTGTCACGATCTGTGATGATCTTCTGCGTTCTCTGTCACGGTCTGTGATGGATCTGGAGGTTCTCTGTCACGGTTTGTGATGGTCTCTAGAGTTCTCTGTCACGATTTGTGATGGTCTCTAGAGTTCTCTGTCACGGTTTGTGATGGGTCCGGAGGTTCTTTGTCGCGGTCTGTGATGGTCTCTGGGGTTCTCTGTCACGGTCTGTGACGGTCGTTGGGGTTCTCCGTCACGGTCTGTGATGATCTCTGAGATTCTCTGTGACGGTCTATGATGGTCTCTGGAGTTCTCTGTCACGGTCTGTGATGGATCTGGAGGTTCTCTGTCACGGTTTGTGATGGTCTCTGAAGCTCTCTGTCACGGTTTGTGATGGTCTCTGGGGTTCTCTGTCACGGTCTGTGGGGAAGGGGGGAGGGGAGTGGGTCCAAAATTTCTACCCTATACACTTCAACACTCCTTTCAGATCGAGTTTCACAAAAAATATACAAGAAAGGAATATTACTTGAAAAGAATCAAAACTTATTCGACACCCTTTGTAGATCATACAACACGCCTTCCCGTAATCTGTATCGTCTGTGAGTGAGAACACATTTTGTTTTTAAAATTTGTTTTTGTTTTGAAATTTTTTCAAAATTATCAATTTTGTAAGTCATATATCTCGGAGGCAGAACAACGAAATAAAATATTTGTTTTTACCAATCGATAGCTTATCTAGCTTTGATGTAAAAATTTCATTTAAGAAATTTCATGTTATTCATTAGAAAATAATACATTTTCTTTAATCAAAACTTGGAATTTTGTTATAACTCTAATTGATGCAAAAGTTTCGAAATTGATATCAATTTAAATGCATACATAAATATTATATGAAGTTTGAATAATTTTATAGGCTTTCTTTCGTCTTTGTCGTATTGTGTATGCAAATGGTAGATGGGTTCAATTTTTTTGGTTTTATGTCATTGCAATACCTGTTCAATTAGTAGGAGCTCTTATTGTTTTATGTCCTCTTTTGATCTGGCATGATGTTATATATTTACCTAATGAATATTATTGTTTTACTGCATTCACAAAAACTCGTGGTATTATTTGGACTCTACTTATGGGTTATGCATTACCTCTCTTACTTTTATCTCTGATATATCTTCGTATTACAATATTTATTCGTCAACAACCCCATAACCAAACATTGATGGTAAAGCAACGACAACAACGAGATTTGGCCGCTATTCAACGAATTTTTATTAATGTTGGTCTATTGGTTGTTCTTGGAATTCCTGGTGTAACTCTTATAATAATGTGCTTCATCACTGGCATTGAACATCCATTAAGCTATCGTATTACGTGGGTTGGACCCGAAATAGCTATGGCAATACTAAGTATACAAATGGTATTTATGACACCCCAATTGAAAAATCTTATTATAAGACGACGACGACGACAAAATCATGTGACTACCTTGAATGGTTCAGTTCCAATGAGGGCCATTGCCACTAATTAATGACGGAATTATCGATTACTATTGCAAGACTGAACTTCACATTTTGTTCATGAAACAATTTATTTATCTCAATCGAAAACTCTCTTGTTTATTTCTCAATAATTATAATACCTTATTGATGTATTTCTTTATTTTGTTTGAAATGAAATATAAACACTAAAGGCAAACAAAATCTTCTGATGAATTTTTGACAAAAAATGCATAACTATCTCTCCTTTGAATAATATATAGGTATTTCTTAGCTGAGAAATCTTATACAAATCTTAGATAATCGTTTTTTTAACTTAGAAAGGAGACTAATAACACTTTTAATGCAAAAAAAAACTCAATTGAATTGACGACAACCCAAGTGAGCCAAAAAAGACGTGCGAGGGGTGCGCCGAGCCCTCGACCCATCGGAAAATGGCAATCCAAGGAGTCGATTTGAAATTCCGATGGGTCCAAGGCTAGATGGTGAGTACCTTGATAGTTAGCAGAAGCATGAGATCGAAGTTTTCGTAATATGTATCGTGATCCTATCTGGCACACGAGGTCTAGGGTGGGTGTGTGGGTGTGGCATGTGGGCGTGGGTGTGGGTGTAGGGTGTGAGTGTGGGTGTGGGTGTGGGTGTGGGTGTGAGTGTGAGTGTTGGTGTAGTTCTTCTTTTAACCCACACCCACACCCGACAAAAACAGACAGGATTCGATCGGATTTTATGCAAATCCGATGTCAGATCCGACGTCTGAATCCGTTAGTTAGGATTCCGACAAAATTGATATAGGTTTCAGTCGAAATTATTTGGAACCGACAGGAGCCGATCGGGCGTGATTGACCTGGGTTATTCCAAATTTTCAGATCTCTAGTGCTAATTATAGGACAGATATAGAGATCCATATGACAGAGAAGATTATTTTCCATATCCTAAAATAAGAATAAGGAGGAGTTACATAAAAAGAATAAAAGAAAAATACATTGAACTATCAAAAGATTGACGAGAAAGAAATAATAATGATAGATTTTTATCTAATAAATTTGTAAAAACAACAATAAAAACTGCATGTTTGATCAATTATATACTGATGTTGATATTATATGGCAAGATGATGAAAATTCAAAACATAGTAGAATAACTGACAAATATAAGAAATCTTTGATCTAATTGACAAAATAAATAAACTACTGTCAATATGAAAATCTAATCAATTTCGACTTTTTTTTTTGTTTTCGATATCTCGAAAATAGTCAAATTAGATATTTCTCATTTATACTTTTTACGATTCGAAATTAGTTTAACTACGAAATTAGTCAAACAAGTTAGTTTTATGATTGGACTAAAAAAAAACCAATTTTTTCGATCAATTCTATTCTCAATATAAACAATCACTAGCAATGACATTTTTCTAGACCGATATAGACATGATCAATCTATCTAGCTTATTTCGTTCATAAATCGAAATATTTTAATTCGAATTTTTAAAAATAAGCAACAACTACTAATTTTTATTTGAAATTTTATCCAATTTGATCTGTTCAGTCGAGCTGAACTGAATGATTCAATGTGAAAATTGATTTCTTGTTTATTTTCAAACGTTTTAATAAAACACTTATGACTTGTGTATGTAATAAGGCAGATAAATTGCTTTTGTCTACATTAGACTAGAAAAATGTTTTATTTCTTTATTATTCCTATTGAAATAATAAAAGAACAATATTTCAATCACTTGTGTAAATTTTTATCTTTTATTGTAATTCTTAAACAAAATTGAAAGAAATTTGTGAATATATTTAACAAATCTGATGTATTTACATAATAGTTTTTAACAAATAAAAATAAATTCGAAAGATTATCTTCAAATTCTATATTACATACAAGTGAAAAAGTGTTTGATATAGATGAAAAATAACTTCTGTTATTACGAGTACATGACTGTTCAACAATAGTTTAATTAATAATTGTTTCGCGAATAAACTGTAGAAATTTTATTGACTTGCTTTTAAATTCTATTTATTGAAATGAATCTTATTTCAAACTGAATTCATTAAAATTTACACTGACACAAAGCTGGAAGTTGAATTTCTGTTGATTTCAAATTTAATCGGTTCACTCTTTATGTTATACGATGTTTAATGTTGATTCGATTTATTTTTTATTGATATTTATGTTAACTCTAAAATGATGTAGATGACAAATCTTGTCTCTTCCTTTCTTTCTTCACTGTTACACTTTCTTTTTCATTGTTCATTTATTAGTATGTCAAAGTCGATTAGAGAGTATAGTTTTAAATACTTTCCAAAATCCTAAACACATATCGAAAAAAGTAACTATTGATCAATATTTCTATTTTGTTTATTAATATATATCGTAAAAAGATCAATTAGAAGATTTTTCATACTAATTTCAAATTAAAACATAAACTTTTAGATCTTGTGTTTTTTTCTATGTATCAGATAAATAAACAAACTATTTCAAATGAAATATATCAAATTTCTTAAATATAGAAAATAAATCGAATTGATCAAGTAACTAGACTAGGATTAAAGAATATCTAATGAACATTTGTCTTCTCATTATGAACTATTCATCTCATAATACCGATTATAACGTGACCAGCAGATTTACCTTTGAAAGTGAAATATTTAGAAAGAAAATTTCTATTAACTGACTTCCTAAAAGTCTTTTAAGAAAAAAAAACGCTCTGAATGTGACTTTCGATTATATGTTAAAATACACAAAGCCATATAAAACATAATACTTACTCTTTTATTATTTAGTTCTAACATGAACACTGAGAAGAAGAAATAACTGAATTAAGATGAATTTGGAATCTCTTTTTCAACTATAGTTAGTGTATCATTTCCAAATTTTTCTACTCAATTATAAGAAAACACTTAGACGCTCGCGCACTGAAAGATTCTTCTTAATCATAACAACACAACATCACTAACAAAAATATATATATATGTGCTTTGATTAATTGTTTATGTTAAACAAAAACTAAAGAACTTAGTTTGTTACATTGGATTATCCCAGGTTTGTTCTCATACCATTGTCACTTCTATGATATTTTTTTTTTCGAACTGAAAAACAAATAGGAAATAATATGGCTCTTTTCATTAGTTCCATGAGAAAAAAGAAAGAAATGCATATAATCAACCATAACAAATGATCGAAAATCTACTCGAGATTTTCTTTTGATATTCAAAAGAATTCGTTACTGTAACCTCTTTGAATGATATCTGATGAGACAATTTATTTTCACGATATACAAAGAAATGAATTTTGGTATATAATTACTGATCATTTTGAAGTAGCGATCTTTTATATATAATCAATGATGTGATGGTCATGGAATGGGGTCATTCATTCTCAACCAATCGAATAAATAATTAAGAAAAAACTTTTATATTTAAAATGTCTTTTTATTACTATTTAGAAATTAGTAAATCAAAGTTTCATAATTAATTTTAGGAGATTTTTATACAACAAATGCTTGATCTATTTTTAAGTTAGAATATATAAATAATATTTCATTGACTATCAAGTCATTTTGAATATAAAAAGCACAAATCTTTTTGAAAATTAATCATATAATTACATATAAATACGATCACATCGTCAGTTATTAAAATTTTCGTAGTTGTTATCAAATGACATAGTTCTAAGGGATGAGAAACAACAAAATCATCGTAAAAAAAAATTTATTGCTTATGTTAGTTGATTATACTAATTATTCAATCAATGAAACATATGTTTCTGCGATGAACATTAAAATTTCTCATTTTAGATTAAATTTAATTGATATATTTATTCGACAAAACTTTTTATTTTTATCAACAGTCAAAATCCGACCGATGTCTAAAAAGATATGAATTACGTGTCAATACTTTGATCAATAAGAAATTCGATTAATTATAATATCTGTTTCATAGAAGTTTTTATTAAATTATATTTAATAAAGTGTTTAAATAAGATAAAGATTTTAAACTTTAAAAAATATTCAAGTCTCTATTTTAATAGAATCAATAAAGAATACATACGAATGATATGTATATGAAATAGTCAAAAATGAATAATCTAAATACAGATCTATCATTTGTATATGATTATTTGAACGAAGGACGAGCATATCGACGCGTATAAACATGATGCTGAATAAAACCATGTGAAGTAATCATTAGACGCGAATCACATTTCTCGATATAATTGAAAAGAGAATGCATCTCGGTGATCTCCTTAAAATTACCTATAGAATAAGAAGAACGCATATGTCCTTGCATATAAATACGTAAAACTAATATTTTCAGTAATGGACATCGATGACGTAGATAATGTGCAATTTCTCTAAATATGATGGTTTCAACATTTTCACGACATTGATTAGCGGTTAAATAGAATTGTAGAAGATTTGGAAAGAGTGAGAGAAGAAAATCGAATTGACCATTGTGGAAAAAAAAATTTTTAAGGCGACCAAGTCGAAGATATTTCATAGATGAAAAACAACGATTTATAAAAATAAATGGAGGAATAACATTATCACATGAGAAATCAAGATACACCAAAGAAGAACAAACCAATAAAATTCTTTCTAATTCATGACCATTTTGTTCTCGTATAGTTAATTGACGAAAATTTAGCTGCTGAATAGTCATTGATGATGGAAGAATGATTGGTTTGCATTGACCAAGATGACAGATTCTTAAACAAGGAAATTCACCATGAAATATGAGTTGTATTAGTTCAGGTGAAGTAGCTGGTAAAACTAACGATTGTAATCGAGAACAAATATCAGAACGAATGATATTTTCGATGTTATTCAAATAACGAGGATGCCACTCGTTATCCAATGTTGGATAAATTTCAAACAAACGATTACCACCGTTTATAGAATGCGATTGACACTTACAACGCATATGTGACCCATAAAACTTGACGAGAATTTTATTGAACGAGTAGAAGAAAGAAAGAACAGAAGGATCTAAATGTTCGTGTATTACAAGAACCAAGTTGGGTAATGATTTGAGAATTAAATTAAGACGATTATTTAATTGTGAGAATGACAAATGGATCTCACCAGCTGTAGAATAAACAAATATTTCCATCAAAACTTCTACGGGTAAATCTTCTAATCGAGTAATTATTGAATAATCCATCTCTCTCTCTGCAGTTCTTATATCGTTACAAAATAAACTGAACACTGAGGTTGCTTTTATAGTCCACAAAAACCATTGTGCTTTTATTCCATCCGAATTCACCAATTCGATCAAAGCGCTAACAATACGTCCAGTTACGATGGATGTAAACAAGCAATTTGTCTGCATAAATGCATTTAATCTCTATTTTTCATCATTGTGTACCCTATGTCAATGTGTTAAGTCTTTGTAGTATTGAAATTCATGCAACAATAAAAAAAGAAGACATGCTATAATCTTTGTCAAAGAAGACAAAGAAAAAGGTTGCATCGTATTCATTCAAACATGGTTATAGTGATCAATGCAATTGAGCTGACATTTCGCATACGGAATACTCATGAACATGATGTTCAACATCTCAGTTCGATCGTCTTGCCTTTGTACGCGAGACAAAAAAAATTCGATTGGAATTGAATGAAGAAACAAGGTATATAGTGAATATGCAAGAATGCAACTCGTAAAAAATAGCAAGAATATCGAAATATTTTATTGACATTGAAAAAGGCAGATACATTAAGAGATTTTCAAGCTAGATCACGTGAACTACGGAATATCCATGAGACCATCTATTACATTGGTCACATATCAGTTTTGCAATCTCTACCAAATTTCTACACCGAAGAGGCTAAACACCAAAAAAAGTACTAACTTCAATCGAATGAGCATTTCATATGGACAGCCATTTAGCAACGTATATATATTCTGTGATTAATTCTATTTCTAGATATAGAATCAATCAATTTCAAATATTCTTTCCACTTTTTCTTTGAAATATGTTTCAGTTTTCCTCACTGCCAAACTCTGGTTCTTATCTCTGAATTGAATTCAATTAAAATCGACTAATGACTTTTAATGAAATTCTCAGAAGAGAATACTTTATTCTTTCTAGTTACAGCACTATGAATTATGATATAATGTTATTGATTGAACAAACCAAACCCATGATCATTGTTTGTTTTCTCTCTTTCTTTTGCACATAGGGTGTGGGGTGGGTGTGGGTGTTGGTGTGGACGTGGGTGTGTGGGTGTGGGAATTGATGAAAAGGGCACCCACACCCACACCCAGCTTCTTCCACTACCTGTATATATATAGGTTGTATTGAAGTTACATCAGTCGATGAAATTATAACTTTGACGGACAAAATTGACGAGGTTAAAAGTTCGTCACATAATTAAATTCATTTTTTATTTTCAAAACATTTTTATTGCCTTGATAGGCGTAACATTAGCAAAATTTTCACAATGTATTTTGATCCAAGATCTTTTTCAACTTTGTACTGTAACTCGCTATTTTTACTTTAGCATAAAATTCATGACTAGAGATAAAGATAAAGGAAATGTCTAGCTGCAAGAAAACATCCTTTTTGAGACTACTTTCAATAGTAGAATTTCATATTCAACTGATGCATAGATAATACTGAAATCTATCATTAAAGTGTTCAGTTACACGAAGATTTTGTTGAACTTAGTGTGAATCTGATTCTATTCAACATTTAAATTGTCCTTACTATTATGAAGTATTGTCCAAATCAGACGCGATAGTATATTAGAGATCCTATTCATTTGTTACCGATTGAGAGTGCCATAAGAAAAGATTCATAATCACATAGACTATTATAAAAACAATGTTTGATTTTTCTGAATGGTTTATTCGTAAAAAAGCGTCAAAAACTGTTTTAAAAATGAAAATGAACTTAATTTTTAATATTTTTTTTAAACATCCTGAATTGATTAGTATTTATTCAATATTCAATTCAGTTGAAGTAACTTCGTCGATCGGTGTAAATTTGATACTGCATATACAAAATATCTTTTTTTTTCTTTCGCACTGCTGTCCGCAAGAATAGTATCCATGCAATTACTATTTATAAAATAAACCACTCACAATATTTAAAATATGTTCCAAATGTTTTTCTCTCATCAAACGACAGTATTGTATGACAACAATCTAAAGTCAGATATTACTCAAAAAATAACTAACGATATATCACAATGTAAAGAATGAAGATTTTTTTTTATTCAAAAAAGTTTCTCAAACAATTTTTTGTCTATACCAAATTACATTTATTTGTTGAATCAAAAGATTACACATTAGTAATTTAGGAATAGATATTGCTTTAAGAAACGATAATTCTATAGGGTATACGGTAATGGAGAAAAATATTATATATATATTTAAAGATCATTCAATAGCGTCATCTTTTCATACAAGAAATATTTCATTTTGAAAGAGTTTACTTATTTTGTCAGTATCTACTTAATAAAATGAAACTTGTATATCATATAATATTAATATTAAAAATTTTCCTCTAAATATTCTGATAGATTTCTGTCTGTATTATACCAAAAAAATGTTTTATATTCGTTATTTAACGACTATATAATATCAAATAGTTCTAGTACTATATTCATATACAAAGAAAGAAAGAAAGAAAGAAAGATAGTTCGTTTATATTTTCTTTTAGAAAATTTTTATCAATCGATTATTTTACTAATTCAACATTAACAATGTGGTTTGATGAAGATCAACAAACAAAATCAAATGATACAGTAATAGAAGTAGAAAATTCATCTGATGAAGAAACAGAAAAATGTACTTGTCATAAAGGATGTTCAACTCGATCTTGTTCTTGTTTTAAAAATGGTAATGGATGTAATTCATCATGTGGTTGTAATGGAACTTGTCGAAATATGTTCAATCATCTTGAATATTTTTTTGGTAATGATAAAAAATATTCTGCTCATCCGTGTTTTGCACAATGGCTTAAAAAAACTGTAAAAAATGCTGATGCACTTCAAATGATTGATCGAGAAAAATTACGTCAACGTATTATTAAATCTGAAAAGTAAATTGGTTTTTTTTTTCTTTTCTTCATTAAACTTTCATCATATAAATTCTTAGCTATCCAGAAATGTTTGCAGATGATGATAATTCAAAAGAATGGAAGAAAAAAAATGAAAATGAAAAATTAATTGATACTCAAAGTTTATTTCGAAATCTTATGTCAAATCAAGCAACAGATCTTT